CACAAAGGAGTACAATGGGATCAGAATGTCTATTATGGAGATCATTGAACAGGGAATAAAGGTCTTCAGTGTCCTATAGATGTACATGGCAGACCAGTAAGGCTTCTGAGTGACATAGTAAAGCTGCAGTGTCAGTGCTTGGTGTACAAGTCCTTTTGCAGATGTAGCCTAATGTGACAGTGACACACCAAAATATATTTATAGCAGATCACTAGCATACAGTCTAAATTTGTTGTGAATTCTTCAGCACTGCAGGCTACATTTTTTCTTAAAGTTTCCAAATTCCACAGACCTCCAATGTAAGCTGTTGTCCTGTCATTGATGTTACACGTCAGGGTATGGACAGACTTCTTGTTTTCTAAAAGATGAAAAGGTGCTTGTCACAAGAATAAGTATCTGTCTGTGATCCAAGTAGCACTGCAAATAACACTTTCTTATTCTTTATTTTATCTGTGTTTAAGCAGACTAAAGAAGAAATTTAAAGAATGTACAAGGACTCAGAAGTCCATGTAGCTTGTTGAAAGATCATGAAGAGATATGTAACAATATTTAGGAAATGACTAATACCTTCTGGAACAAAGCTTTCCCTTTTAGTAAAAGGCATTTCTGTTTTCCTGTTGGATTCCATGAACTGTCAGGAATATGAATAAAAAATATGGAAATATTCTAGAATAAAAGTAAGGCCTATCTTCTTAGATCCATTTATCTTCTCAAAGAGATTTAGCTTTTTTCTTCACCTGTGAAATATCAGGATAAACAACAACAAAAAATGATAACCAAAAAGAAACAAATACATAGCAAAATGTGAGCAAGTAAGAATTGCAATGCCTCTACAGAGCCAAATATTTAAATTTTTGAGTGTTTGGGGATCTCTGTGGAATTTGTGAAATAAAGAATTATCGCTCCTGTAAGTTGCAAAATAATTTCTAAATGCCTAAAGAAAACAAATAGAAATTTCTTTAAAGAATAAAACTATTTAAATATTCAATCTGGACAAGTTGTCTCAGTTCAGTCCTTTACTGATCAAGCTATATATAGAGGAAATGTCAGTGCTGACATTGTCAATAATCTATATTTATGATGTATTATATTTATTAATATATAAATATAATTTATTATTATTATTATACTCAAATATTCAGATATTTAAATGGCAAGGAACTATAGGAAACAATGTACCAAATCTGTGTGTCATAAAATGATGCTGTTGAGCTCAGTGAAACTTCCAGGTGTAAAAAGCGTCAAAATTTCATTCCATACCTTCGTCTTCAGATATCATCAGCAGTGAAATTGATTTCTTTTATAATTCTTGGAGGACCCTTCTTCCCATTAGACAGAACCACTGGACAGATCAACAAGAAGCTGCAAATGGGATTTTTCTGAAAATGGGACATAACTGTCAAAACTATTGCTTGGGTTATAGAACAGATTCTCTCCTGATGTAAAATGACACAATTCCATTGACTGCAATGATGTTACACACAATTTATGCCAGAAGGATACATAGCTCTTTATCCATTTATCTATGAGCTGGTTGCTGTGACTTAATTTCACATGAATTATGTTACTGTTCTTGGTCTGTGCCCTTGCAGCACTTTATTACTTAGAGGGCTAGTTCAGCAGAAATAAATAAATATGTGATTTGCAGTCTCAGCAAACGTCCTAGCCAGGCACAATGGCCTCTCTGCAGTGTTCCAGGCTAATTGCCCCCAATTTTCTTCTCTAACCTTCATATGCAATTCAGTCTGTTCTTGTACTATTCTCCTTACTATTTTTCCATCCAGTCCTCATGTTTGGATTTTCTCCAGTGTCAGCAAGTCTTTAACCATCAGCTCTTACGTATTCAAATTCCTTTGGAGAATAACTTCCTCTGCAGTGATCATAAGAAACATGTATTACTTTTAAGAAAGTACATTACTTTAGAAAAGAATATGTTTTAAATCTTTCCTTCTTAAGCTCTCGCCCTGAAGTTTTGTGTTTGATAGTATACCCCAGCATTTATGGTAACAAATCCTGTCATTATAGTTGTGTCTTGTGCTTACTGGTATATCATCATCCAATGTTTTTCTAATTTCACAGTGAAAACCTGTCATCAAATATCATAAGCAGTTTAACTGATACTAATAAAAGTAGGAAGATTTTTAAGCTTATTTTAAGACTGATTGGCAGCAACTTTCTATCCAAAAACTGAATGCAATAGCAGTGAGTTAATGATAAGCATTAATAAATCATGCTTGAGCTAATTTCTTAGGTACTAAGGACCTTTTGATGATTAGAGAACATGTCTGAAAATTGTTCTGGGCACCTATTTAATGGCCTGTGACTTTGGAAGGCATTAATCCAGAACATCGACTTCATTTTCTCATTAAGTCTTCTACATTATAGGAAGTTGTCTGTGAGGCCTGTTGGATTCAATGGTGGACAGAAAGAATGAAATTAAAGAAACTGTTATGAGTGAAATAAGTAGTTCCCAGCTACTTACTTTGGGGGACACCCACTGAATTTAACAGAATTGGTCTCCACAGTCCAGCTGCATTTCTGCTGAACACTTCAACCAGACGTGGAGCCTGAGTCTACTACTTCTGTGTGCTTATTCACTATGAGAGACCATAGACCATTCTGTTGAATACAATAAGTTTGTAAAAAGTAAAAGAAATATTAATGAAAGCGGTGATACCTGCGAAATGGAAATAATGTTGTTGTAGTTGAATTCTTTTATTAAGTCTTGTGTAAGAAAAAGAGCACATTTTACATATAAATGGTACTTGTGCTACGTTGAAAGTTAAATTCTAAGCTGTCTACCGTAGATATGTTTTGTCCGTAGATATGTCCTTTATCCTTCCTTCCCTTTAGGTTTCTCCTTCTTGCTCTGTTCAGCTCCTGCACCAGTCTGGACTGGGGAATTCTGTGCTCAGTTCCTACCTTTTGGATCATAACTCTGTCTTCTTTATTTCACCATTAAAATGACTATAATGTATCCTCCTTGTGGCTTATCTGACCTGGCGTTCTCCTTCTAGTGTCCCCTGTGGACACTTAAAAAGAACCATTATGAAATAAGATTATCACTATGGAAAATTTTACTCCTGGTCTCATTTAGTTAGCATTGATATAACTTTTGATAAACTCGAACAAAATAGAGTCTTGCATCATCTTTTTCATATTGTATGCAGTTCCAGTGTTCCTAAGGTGCTCCCAAACACAGAATCATAGTACAATATTGTATCTCCTTTAGTCTATATGTTCAAGGTCTTGATAAAATCTTTTCTCTCTGTCTGTTGTCAATGCATTAGGCCATATACTGTGGGTAGCTTTTTGCAAACATAGTTGAGTTCACCAGAGTTTAAAAATAAATTTTTAGATGACTTGGCCGGGGAAAGATTTTGTAGATGTTTTCCCTCTCTAACACAGTTTAAATAAGATGATTCTATGATATTCTCAATAACTTCTTAGAATATTAACTTTCCATCAGAGAAATGTGTTTGTAAAATCAAAACACACTAAAAAAAATCTTTTTTGTCAATGTAGGTTGTTGATATTGCATTTCTAAATGTAGTTAAACATACTTTAAAATGAAATTATATTAAAGTTTTTAACACGTTGAGTTATTCATGATACTAGTCTTGTACTTCAGTACCTTGCACATCAAAGGTCTGTCTTTGACTTTACCCCAATGCTCTCTCACTCCCTAGTGCTTGCTTATGCCTCTGTCCCTTCTTTCCTGTCCCATGACCCATGCCCCATGCCTGACCGTAGTAAATCCTACCTCTTTTCAGTGAAATATCAGATAGACTATTTGCATTATACAGATAAGTCAGTATATGACCAGAATGAGTGAGGAAAGACAGCACCTGTAGTGCAACCTGTGTAAAAAACAGTCTCAGTGCACCAAGAACCATTTGAAAGCCTTACATAAAACAATCTCTTAATGTTCCTGTTGACTTCATGACAGCTATTCTATATGTTTGCTGTACAGAAAATCATATACATTTTTGAAAATATTAATTTATAGAAGTCTAACCTGACCTTACGCAATATCCAGCTGAAGAATGTAAGGAATCTTCCTTCTTTTTTCTCCATACATCATCCTTTATTGTAGAGTTTTAAATAGCACTATATGATGATTAATTGTTTGTTATTATGGTAAAAAACATTAGAATGTTTTTATTTCATTACACTTTATGAAGGTGTGATGTTTATATTTAAGATAGTATTGCCAAAATAACCCAACCACTTCATGCCCAATTTAGCAAGTTAGAACTATGGAAATCCAGAATAAAACAAAGTAAATTTCCCTACTCTACAGGCAATTTCTATGTTTTAGGAACAATTTCAGATGCAAGTTTTAAATATCTATTTAATTGATATAGGACAGTTCTTGTAAATTAATTGAGCAAGAAATTGTTATTCCCCTTATATTCCAGTGAGTTTCTTCCAAACTTACCATTTCTCTCCACCCAATCATGACTAACTTCCAAACGTACTCACTATAGGCCATGTTCTGCATTTGACTTTAAGCTTGGGACTCTTTGTCAGAAGTCTTTTACATACAGGGAGGGAGTTGACTTTAATCTTTTCTGTAGGTCTGACAGCAGGGTTAATTTATTACTCTAAAAGTGCAGGTAAACTTAGCCTATCAAGTTTTTTTTAAGTCTGAACTCCTAAAATATTCTTAGCATTAAATATGAAATATGTGACTGCCTTGGAACAGATACTTTACTTCTGTGTTTGAGCAGAAAATCCTTTTTGTTTACAGTTTTGTTACACTGGCCAATTATACTGAATATATATTGAGCCTAGTACATGTTAAAAAATTCACCAAAATCTGTGCTGTTTCTCTATTTTGAACACAGCTTAATTTGGCCCCTTGGCTCATACATTCTTACAAGCTTTCTGTATAAAGTAGCCTAATGCTTTTCCTCCTAGAGTAAGATTTGTCTGCACTAGTTTTGGCATTTTAAAAAAATGAAATCTCTCTAACTTGCCCTCTTCTTTCTTTATAGTCGATGAAGAGAAATGGACACCTCAAGGGAATGATTCTTCCCATCCTAAGACTGGTATCTAGGATAGGTCAGATGGATGGCCCTTTGGAGGTACCAGTTTCTTTCCAGTTACTATCAAGGGAACTTAGAGTGACTGGCTCACTCTTACATCTGTAACTTTTAGATTTCTGAAGGTATGTGACATAATTTGTTCTTCCTTATCATAACATTGTCTGAGGATATGAATAATTAATTCTCTTCAGAAAATATTACCTTGAAGACAATAGTGTTTTGACTGAGACCCAAAATGTTAAAGTGTACATATATTGGGAAGGTTTTGTGCTGCTCTAGCAGAATCTTGGGACATCTGATGAAGCAAGTACAGTGAGCACTGGTGCATATAGAAGCATTATCTGTACTTTTGGACACATGGAACCAGGATTTTATACAGGAAAAAAATAAAGATTTAAAATGTATTAATGGAATTAATCTCACTTAACATTAGAAATCTACACTGGAGACATCTATATGAATGTAGCCTCTTTAGGCTTCTTTTCTAATCAAGGTACAAATATAAGACCTTTCAAGGTACAATACTTCTGACCTATTTTAGACACTCACTTTAAAATGAGATGAACAGTGGTCTGAAAGTTTCTGGTTTTCTCCACTGATTTTAAAGCAAGACCAGTGAGTGTGATTAACTCAAGAGCAGATATCAAAATTATTTCTCTGTTATTCATGGATGGATGAGGAGAAGCAAATAGTATCAAATGGCTCCAAGGGGCCAAAAAGTTGTGCTGTAAATGTGAAGTCTCTAAACTGTTTAGTGACCCTCAGTTCTTTAGTGTTACATAATGCTAATGTGTTGCTGTGACATCATTTAAGAGCTCTGACATTGTACAAATATTTATGGCACTGTTGTGACATTGATTGATAAAAAAGTCAATTTCAGCTATGTAGATACAATTATTCCACACACTGTTACCTATTATATATTTTTTTTTAAAAGAGGGCTTACAACTAATTTACAATAATGGTGGAAAATTAATAATGGGATGCTGAGAACATTTTGTTAACATCTCAAGATTTTGAATATAGCCACACATTATCATGAATACATTTATTTATGAAATTGTTTTTGCATTTTTTGCAGTCTTGAGATTAGAAATGTTTTCTCTATGAAAGCTTTTTTATTTTTTAGTGCTATATGCTTTTTATTCTGTATGGGTTGTTGTTATATTTGTTCATCCTAAATTTGAGGAACGTATTGCTTTTATTATTCTAAAATCTTTCACCAGCTTGAAATGGATGAGAACATTGGCACAGTATTAATTTTTATTGTTTGCTTGGAGTTCATATAGATATATAAAAATACTTATGAATAAAATGTTTTCCTTTTTTATCTCTGTAGTGAGGGGAAACAGTTTTCCCCCTGCAGTTATAAAATGGTAAAACCCCAGGGAGTGGTGACCCTGGAAGTTTTGGAGTTTTAACCAATGAGCGCTTCTGCGAAGTATAAACATACCACAAGCAAACGGAAGAGAAGCTTAGTTGTAGTTTGGTGGTAGAAGTGGTAGCCATGTTCTGAGGCCACGAGGAAAGGGGCTCAGAGCCCCTTGGGGCCTCTGGGGCCCCCCAGCCCCTGGCTGGGGGGCACTGCAGGGACTTGGAACAGCGTGAGGCTGGGCTAAGTACCTGTGGCTCAAAGCTAAAAAAGTTTTCTCCACCGTGAGTGAGCAGAGACAGAGCAGCGGCAGAAGCAGCGTCCAGAGACTGTGGCTAAGAGCCAAAAGATAAGAAAGCAACACCATGCAGCCAAGGAAGACACAGGGTTGTCTGAGAGAGCCAAGAGAGAGAGAGAGAGAGAGCAGCAGAGAGAGAAAATTAGGCTCTACCGAGAGGAAGTTGGGGTAAGAACTGAAATAAAAACCCTATACCCCTCTGAGACCTCTGAGAAAGGAGGGAGATGGACTCCGGCTTGAGAGGAGTCGTAGAGTGCAACATGCACCAAAGAGAAGAGCTGAAAAGCTCAAAGCGTCCTGGAAAGCTAGCCCGGGATGGAGGAGGAATGCAGTGGGGGTGACCTTGCCCCCCCCCTTCGCTGCTGCTGCCAAGCCTAGCAGCCTGAGACAGAGCACAGGAGCTCTGGTAGAACTCTTGAGGCAAAGGCTTTCAACTGAAAGCTGCCCAAGATGTTCTCACTCGGGGTGAACCCCCGGAGGAAGAGACTTTCACAAAGATGCCCCTGCACTTTGTGATATGACCGTGGTGAAGCGAGTTTTGTCCCTGCTACGCAGCCCATGGAGGAAGACCCTCGTTCGAAGACAGGTGGCCGAGGGGCTTGGATACCCCTCGTGTGTGCTGGCAGAGATCCAGCTGCTGCATGAGAAGAGCGAAACAGATAAACCTGCTGCCTTAGAGACATTGCTGCTCTGAAGAAGGGATCTTTCCTTCTTCCCTCCTGGACTTTTATTTGGAGGGGAGAAGAGATTTGATCCATTGTAAATACTTATGTCATGGTAGAGATAGTTGAGATCGCGTGTATAATGTATTATAATATTTATTTGTACAGTCATTGTAATATATATTCCCTTTCCCCCATTTTAAGTCTCGTGTGGTTGTCTGGAAAAAACCCATCTCAGACTAGGTTGAGATGTGAGAGGGGGCTTAGACTAGGGAATTGGGTTTTTGGAGCTCTGAAACCATGACAATCTCTTACAAGAATATTGCTTTGTAAGCCTTTAAGTAATTCTACCTTCCATTTCAAGATATCTTTCCTTTTACTTCTGTATACTGTTCACATAACCAATTGCCCAGTCTCTTCAGATCACCTTATATTGTTCTCCATCACAATACCTTTATTCCTGCACTTTTTTAGTCATCAACAATTTTAATCATGTCTGTATTATATATATGTGTGCTAAGAAAACTCTGTCAAGAGAGAAAAACATTGTGAGAAAAATAAATAATAAATAAAGCAGTGATTTTATTTATTCTTTTTACAGCAGGATTTGCATATCTTTTTTGCGTTTGAGTATTAATTTATGAATATATTATTTTGTTTTGAGAAGTGCCAAGCAGTCTTGCTTTTCATAGTCTACAGATTGCTGCATACAGGCTCTAGTGACACAACAAATAACAATAAAGTGACATTAAGAGAGAATATGGTCTGAGGTCAATTGTGAGGTCCAATGTCATTCACTAAATGAAAGTGATCCAGAGTCTGTTAAAGAGGCTAATATATGACAGCTCAACCTTTCTCCACTTTACTAATTTTTAGGAAAAACATGCCAAGAGACAAGAAAAGATTTTCAATGATACAAAACAATGTGGAGAGGATTATATAAACAACAGTGATTTTCATTTTTACTCTCTTCTTCTTATTTAGATCACTCCGCTCATGCATTGCACGCATTACAAAAAATTACTTGACCTGATATCTGTGGAAAATACAATCAAATCTTTTCTTATTTTTGCTAGGATGAGCATTAGACCACTGGGTAGAATGAGACTGAAGGATGGGAGAGTCATTTTTACCCATATGAATATATCATTTTCTTTTTGTATGCCTGGAGATTAAGAAATGACTGATGTAGTGCAAACCAGAAAGAGTTTCTCTGCTTAGTATTTACACCCATGCCTTTCTCCTCCTTCAGTTTTCAGGTGAGGGAAGAGCCCCGGCAGCTAGCCTTGTCATGCATATTTCCTGCTATTGCACCCTCACCAATGTACAAAAAGAATCAAATGGAGACAATTTAGAAATCTGGACCCCGCAGGTCCAGTGAATGGATCATACAGCTGATAAAAAGAGACATGCATTTAAATCCTTATGCCCTGAGCTGTTTATGCATTTTGACACTGCATGATATCTGGATTAGAAAATCAGAAGCAGGCAGGCTGACGAGAACCAGAACTCAATTTCCTCCACATCCAAACAGAGGACACTCAGAACCTGACTGCCAACAAGCAACTGTATCTCCTTCTTTCTCTCTTTGCAACACAGAGACCTGGAGGGATACAAGCACTATTCCTCTGAAGGATATAAGCACTCAAATCATACTAGGATTCATATTAATCATAATTATTTAATGTATCCAGTGATTCCTTAATCTACCAATTCTGATTGCAGTAGAGTTCTTGTGCTCAGTATAGACTGCTGCACCATTCATAAATAAGTTAAAGAAAAATAAAAGTATTTTTTACTTTATCTGCTCGATGATAATAATATAGGGTTTAATTGACCTCACTGCAGCAGAATTTCTAATTCTGAAATAAAAAGTGAAAAGTCAGGGATCTTAAATTTTGTGTTAATAGATCTTAATGAATCACCCTGAAATAGCTGGCTCAAACAAGTCAGAACACTGTCAGCCAGCTCAGTGTGCCAAGAATCCATTTCTCTTCTAAAAGATAAATGAGGTTCCTCAGTGTGGAGAATGCAGAGTGCTAGTGTTATGCCCTTTTATTTTAGAGTTGATTTATTCCAGTTGTGATGAAAGGTCACAAACTTCAGTGTTCTTTTTTTGCTTCCTTCAATTCTTACAAATGAAACTTTCTAGAGTAGGGCTAATAAGACATCTGAGAGTACACTTTGTGTCAGTCAGTTCTCATACCATTATCTTTGTGATTCAAATAACCATTATTAAAATATATTTTAATTTTTGTCATTTGTAATGTCTGCATTGTAAAGTCCTATCCAGTGCCTAGTGAGTTAATATAAAACTTTTGGATCACTACAGGGTATTCTGAATCAATTCCTGTATTAGTGAGCACCCCTAATGTTTTTCAATATGCCCCTTGTATGTTGACCTTAGCATGCCAATGAATTCTTAGGGAAAAAGTGTACTGGGTCAATAAATGTCTATCTGCCAGCTAGGTGACATTGGCTGGTATGACATTGTATTCTACAAATGCCAGTCAGTCTTAATTCTGGAACAAAATCAAATTTGAATGATTGTTGATAATTAAAATTTTCAATAACTTATGTTTGAAAGCCACAGGGAGAACTTATTTGGAATACTGAATCCAGTTGTATTCTTTATCCTGAAGAATGGAATTATATATTGTGGTAATGAAGCTGATAGGAGATAGGTTATAAATCCAGTTTCAGAGCTATGAAAGAACGGAGATCGAAAGGATCATGTAAAATTATGCTTTTATTTGGTTTAATAGTGATGAGCAGAGGAAAGGGCTGGGGAAGGAATACCCAGAAGAGAAGGGTTGACAGGGTTTTAAAAAACTGTTTATTATAATAAAAAAATCTGGACTAACAGTGTGAGATAAACCATGAAAAACCATCCTCAAAACTATGGATGAAGCAAGATACCATAGGAAACAAAAGCTGGAAAATTTCCACTTCTATCTTAAACAAATGTTTTTAAGAAGGTTTGTCGGAAGTACAGAATCCTGTGATATGGCATTGTCTTCAGGATACCTAGATTCATTCTTATCTGTGCTTCTAGATATTTTGAGGTGAATTATTTCCTGAGGTGTTGTTCAAAGGTCTATAAAAGAGCAATAATAGAAATTTTAATTGCAATACTTTTAAGCATGTTATGGTCAAGATATAAGAAGAACACAATAAAAAGTTAGCAGCCACAGAGCTGAAAATGTGATTTTTGCTGCACAAGTTGCAGGTCCAGTGAATAACGGAAGAAATGATCAAATGACACAGATATCTTAAGTACAGTGATAGTACTTCACAGAACAATTGTGCAAAATTAATTTTGAATATTCGATATAAACTATTGCTGAGTTTGCTATCTGTATCATTAGAAATACATCCTAATGCTTCACTTCAACATTTCTTTGTTCAGCTATGGATGATTCTTCCTGTTCATTTCAGTAACTCAGTTCAGTTCTTCCTCAATTTTACTTAACTTCTGACTTGAAGACTCTTATGTTCATCCTCAGCTTTTTCTTCTTTAGGATAAAGAAAAAAAAAGGCATTTTTTTGTTATAGGTTATACCATTTAGGTATTTGATCATGCTTGTTTTTCTCCTTCAGACTATCACCGGTTAGTCCACCTTTTTGAGGTATGGCACTGAAATCTTATTGCTCCTAGCCAGGGATGTATTTGTCACTGTGTTTGTTCAAAATCAATGTAGTTCTTGTTGCTAGACCAAAGAAAGGAAAAGTAATAAGACAATTTGCTAAGATCACTGTTGGTGAAACTTGTGCAACTCTTGCTTGAAGAGCCTTTCTTTACTCTTTCTAATCATCCTATACTGTACACATACTTCTACTAATTTCTTTTTTTATGGTATTCATAGTTCATTCATGCATTTCCTGAAATAAGGCCCAGATTCTAGCATTGAGCCATTTTTTATTAGAACAAGGAAGCCCTTACAGCCTCTTTTGTTATATGCAAAAATCCAAAATCTGTTTCATG